AGGAAGTACCAACATTTTGAAAATGGCCATATTACCAAAATTGTTATACAGATTCAGTTAAATCTCAATTAAAATACCATTAGTATACCTCACAGATCTAATAAAAACACTCCTAAAATTCATCTGGAACCAGAAGAGATCTAGCATAGCAAAAGCAATCCAGAGCAAAAAAAGGAAAGGAAAGAGATATCACAATCCCAGACTTGAAATTGAACTACAAATCTACTATGATATACAATTTTTTTTGGTTGTACTGGGGATTGAATTCAGGATCTTGCACTTGCCAGGCAAGTGTTTATTCTACTGAACTATCTCCACAGCCCTGGAAGATTTTTTTTTTTATTTAGTACAGAGTCTACAGGGTCTCACTTTGTAGATCGGACTCGCAGTGATTCTCCTGTTTTCAGCCTCCCAAGCTCTGGGATTATAGGCACACATCACCACACCCATTCTCAATCACCATCTCAGTGCACCCCAGGGGTGGGTCCAGGACAGCATGCCAGGAATCAAACCCAAGCCACTGTGCTCTGCCTAAGCAGGTGCTTTAGTCTGTTGAGCTATCTGGATGACCCAGCTACTGGGATAAATTTAGCATGGTAATAGCAACAAAAAAAAATGACTTTAGGAACAATGAAACAGATCAGAAGATGCAGACACAACTACAAGCACACTCAGCCACCTCATCTTTGACAAAGTAGCCAAACATGTTCACTGAAAGAAAGATAGCCTCTTTAATAAATGACACTGGAAATGCCAGCTTTCCACATGCTTAAAATAGACCCATGGCTGTCACCATGCACAAAATTACAGTCAAAATGGATCAAAGATTTAAATATTAAAAGTAAAACACTAAATTTTACAGAAGATAAGTAGGAACAAAGCTTAAGAACATTGGGGTAGGTAAAGTGTTCATGAACAAAAGTCAAACTGCATGGGAAATCCTTCAAAGAATCAACAATTGGGATCTCATCTTTTTTGACAAACTTCTGCACATCTTTTGGTGTGCAGAGTAAAACCCATAAAGAGTAAAATTGAACCCATGCAGTGGGAAAAAATTATATCAGACTGTTCATCAGACAAAGGACCCCTATGTAAAATATATTAAGAATTTTAAAAATCAGACCACCCAAATTCAAAGACCCAATCCAAATATGGGCACCTGATAT